CTTTCTCTTGTACTTTTTGCAAAAAATACCATATATGGACAGGGAATCTTTTAAAATTCACAGCAGTTTTCACAGGAGAGGAGTACTATTTTTTGACTAATAGTGCAATGAAAATATGCATGGCCCATATCTATCTTTAGGTGATCTGTAGGAGACTTTTCAGGTATTTGTTATTTCAAAACCCAAAATATGGTATTTGGTTTGTATTTATCAAGGTATTTTATGTAATTTGTTCAGATACTCAAATACTTGTCATAATATGATAATGTATTTATATTATTTATGGTCTTTCTAAAATTATAGTCCTACTCAGACCAAAGATGTGCAGAAATGTTTGTCAGAAAATTTGGTAGTGTGTAGGATGACCAATTGGTATTCATCTGTGAATTACCTGAAACATTTCACAATGTTGTTTATACACACACACACACACACACAGAACTATGAAAATTAATTTCATAGTTAATTTGGGAAGCTATTTGGTCTCTTTACAGCACACATCTCAGCTTATTATGCTTTCAGGGCTTTCATTGTAAGTCCTATACTACATAGATACATTTTTTTTCTTCTCTCCTCAGAAATTTTTCCAAGAGATTCCAGTCTAAAAGACAAGTTCATAAAACATTTTACAGGTAAGACAGCTGCTTGCTCTTAATTTTTCTACATATGCATGTTCTTAGTAGCCACAAGAGTCACACCATTAGCTTTTTTGAGGTTCTGCACCAGGTTTAACGTTTGTGAAGTTAAATTTCCATATTTTAGGACTAGAAATTTTTGAAGAACCCTAATTACGTTGAGGTTTGAGTCTCTCTTTGAATTGTCTAGCCTAAAATAACTTTCAAAACACTGTAAGTTAAAACATTATTTAAAACTTATTGTTTCATTTTTATCATCCTATTGTTGCTTGCCATATTTATTTTCAAGTTCACTATTTTTAAAACTTCTCATTGGACTGCACATATCTTTCAGAAACAGACCTATGTGGCCATGTAAGTTTTCACTATATCAGGGAAACACTTTTTGTCTTCTGTCTCATGATGTATACATGTGGATGTTTATTTTAACAAGGGAAACAAATAGAACAAGGAAGGATTAAATCAGTGTAAGTGAAACAGAAAAATAATTTGCTATTTCAAATATGAAAGTTTATTATGATTACAGTCAAGTACTTGCTTGAAAACTGAGGTGGAGTTGTATAATGCACTTACCTTTGGGATTCTGTTTTGTAACTACTGGGAAAAATATTGTACACTCTGAATATATGCAAAAAGAATTGCCAGCAGCAAGATGCTTGTACCGATTCTTTACTCTCCAGTTCCAAATGTTCTGTAATTCAGAAAAACGAAGGTCTCAAAGTATGACGCTGCAGATCTGTTGGTGATTTTCAATGTTACAGGCATTAGTGAAACTAAAAACTAGAGAAATAGTTGGTGGTTGGAGCATGAAAAAGAGAATTGGAAATAATTATGTATTTCCTCTTTGCTGGAAATTTCAGACAGCCCTTGGCAAGAAAGGAGGGAATTTGTTGTCTCTTTTGCATGGGGGAGATGTCCAAAACCTTTAGGATAAGTGCAACTTTAAGGATCTTTCTGCCAACTGCTAACTGCAGCCTAACAGCATCTACAGGAAACGTGCCACACCCAGCTGGCCCTTCACTCTTACAGTAAACAAGAATAATTACGAACCTTACCATTTTCAGTCCATATGAGAAAGAAATGAAAAGAACGTATAGATTCCAACTATACTATCCTATGTAGCACAGGAATACTGAAAATTCCTCTCCTGGGGAGGACAGACAAGAAAGATTTGCTTATATTAATACTTAATCCATTTCCTTTTCATTTTTAACTTTGGAAACTGCTCAGCTACCATAAAAAGCTCAACATAAGAATATGGGGAAGCTAAATAATGAATATAGAACAAGTTTCATTACTCAGAAACAACAGTGAAAACCGAGTTTTACAGGAGGTATTTTGAGAACACTAAATCATAGAAAAGAAAAAAAGCAAAAAATACTTGAAGGCCTGTTTCTGGAGCCATTCATTAAATCAATAGTCCTTTTCTGCATGAGTAGTTGCCATCAAAAGTTGCTGAAATTATTTGACTAACATTAGCTGGAATGAATAAGGAAAGCAAGTTCATTCCAAACTTCTTGACGTTTATTTCTTCGTTGGCTCAGAATTTCTGCCTACATCTTTTTTTTTTTTTTTTTTTTTTTTTATTATGCTCTTAAGATCGTCAGTGAGGGATTTTCTGCCTGTTTTTTTTCTTTTCCACAGCTTCATTAGGTCCTGTAATTGGCAGGCATTTTCTTAAAATACAGCCTAACTTTGTTTTTCTTGATTCTGTTCAAATCATAATCCTTTTTCTGTTAACCTTTGTTAAGTAAACTGTTCAGATATAGTCCTTACCAGTTCGAGAGTTAGAACATCCCGAACTAATGAAGTTGTGAAAAAAAGAAGAGAAGGGGAAATCAACATTATCTTTACAGTCCATTATCTTTACAGTTTCAGGGTTAAGAAAATTATTGTACACTTCTAGTATGCCAAGAATAGTAGACACATTTTAAAGCCAAATAAGAACCATATGTAACAGTCCTTGACTATAGGAAAAAATAATAAATAATAATCTTGTGAGTTATAAAGCTATCTATCAATTCAGGTTGAAAAGCCAGCTGACACAGAGTGCTCTGTAAGGCACAGATAAAATTGATAGCCTATTTTTGATGGCAAGTGTCGTGGTTGCACAATGCAATTGCTTACCACCTGCCAACCGATGCCCAGCCAGTCCCTGAGCAGCTGCCCCCCCCCAGCCAGTTTCCCCCAGTTTATATACTGAGCATGATGTCACATGGTATGGAATGTCCCTTTGGCCAGTTTGGGTCAGCTGTCCTGGCTGTGCCCCCTCCCAGCTTCTCGTGCACCTCCAGCCTTCTCAGTCGGGAGAGCATGGGAATTTAGTCTAAGCACTGCTTAGCAAGAACTAAAACATCAGTGTGTTATCAACATTATTCTCATCTTAAATCCAAACACAGCACTGTACCAGCTACTGGGAAGAAAATTATCCCAGCCGAAACTAGGACAGTAAGGAAGAGTACTAGAAAACCATATATTAACTGAAGGGTCATGGAATTTATTTAGTGACAAAAGCTGATGTTATCTCCATGTATCTTGGATAATTTCAAATTACCTACTTTCTCTTGAGCCTAATTACTCACTCAGATGATAAAAAATGGCAACAATCTTCCAGTTCAAAGTTGCAAAGGCTGCTTTGTCAGTTTGTTGAAAAGCTTATTTGTGGCTGAAAAACCTCATGAAATCCACATATTACTGTAAAATATCTCTAATGTTTAAATATGTTTACTGTCATAGAGAGGAATCTTCTCTCAAGCTTTTCGTAGTTTGGCTCCACTATCCAGAGAGAATTGTCTTGGTATGTTCTACCAGGCTGATAAACCACCTTTCAAGTTGAGAAATAAATAATTTTTGCCCTGAAATGCTTTCTATCTTCTTCTGGCAGGAAAGTTAGTCAACACAGCGTGCTTCATATGGATCCTCTTGTAGCATTGCTTGAAATAAGCTATTCTTATTCAGGGTTCGTATTTGTGCTGAATTTAGAGGATGCAAGTTAAATTTAGTCTTGTTCAGTTAGTGTCAATTTATGTCAGTGTTTTCTGTCCAAATCACAGGAAACTTGTCCCCAGCTGTCAGTGGTAGTATTGCTAAGCAGGTTACATGATGCAAATATTACATATTTGCTCTCCTTTTCAACTTGGATGCCATCAGTAATGCCTTCCCAGGGCCATCAGCAATTATGGAAGGGCTCTTTGGCAACTTGTTACCTTTGAGCCATGTTTTGGAGACCAGTAGCTATATATTCTTATCAAATACTAATGCGGGCAGATGACACTGTATATCCAGAGAAGGGATCACAGGCTGGAAGAACAAAGACACAGCACACTACACCCTGGGCACACAGGGATTTGCCTCACCCAAACGTTGAGACACATGCTGCCCTCCGCACGTTTACACCCTTTCTGGCTAGGACTACTTTAAAAGGAGATCAGGTTCCTAGATGTTATTCAGCTGTCATTTTTTTTTCCTCAACACCCACGCTGTATATTAAGAACTTCATAAACCATCTATGTGCAAATTAGAAGCATGAGTACACGAAACTACTTCATCTTTCTAGGGCTTAGAAACTCATATTTGCTTAAAATGTTGCTTTTATTTATCTTTAGAAATAACATCCGCATTCCATCTACATTATTCCTTCTACATTAGACTATTGACAACTACTGAGCAAACTAAATTCTGTTGTGGTTGCACCGTTCTATTTTTCACCATATAAGAAATCTTACTGTTAATTTTGAATTACTGGAATGTCAAGGCTAAGCCAGTCCATTGTTTCCAAGGGCCATTTTTCTGTTACTCAGATTGTGAGCATAATAGCGTAGCAATAGTATTTCTTTCTGTTATTTCAGTAACATTGTTAGACTTGTGTTGCATCATAATTATTTAAGGTGTAGTAAAAGACTAAATGTAATTTTAGCCAAAAAAATTGAACTTAATTCTATGTGTTGCCGTCATTCATTGAAGTTGCAAAGCAGTGACATTGAAAGCATGTGGTTAACTCCTGCTTACTTTCAAACAGGGCCAGTCACATTTTCATCAGAGTGTAGCAAGCACTTTCATCGACTGTATCACAACACAAGGGACTGCTCAACGCCAGCCTGTAAGTACTATACTACAAAATATTCCCAAGGTCTTCTAATATACAAAGATTTTCTATTAATGCACTTGCAGTCAGCTGCGTATAATGGAGTTCCTTCAAAGTGAGACTAACATAAATGAAATGAAAACTACACTCTGAAAAACCAGTCGGGCATGCCTATGCAGAGGGCAGATATGAAGCCATATTCTCCTTCCTGCTCCCTTTACCTCTACTTATTAACTTGTGCAATAAGATAAAATCTGAACCATTCTCTACCTTCTCTTAATGCTCAGTAGTATGGTTATATCTTGTTTTTTTAGTATATTTCAGTTTGTGATGATAATTTCTATTATATGTCCATTATTAAAGAACAGAAAATCCATTAATTTATCATTTCTGTTATTGGTACATGCAGTCCTTATCGAACAATATTCCAGTATAAGATCCACGAAAGTTTTGCTTTAACACAGCCTGAATGTAATTTTGTCAGAGAAACTGAAAAATAAAACTGTCCTAAGATGTTACTAAATGGATAAAACAAACAAACAAAACAAATAAACAAACAAACAAACCCAAACAAAATGGAAATCCCTTAAAAAGAAGTTACTTCAGCATTTTCTAGTGCAATGGACAATTCAAATAAAGTGAGTGGAAAATAAGCAATATAATTTAATTAGAAAAGGTGAATCTCATTAGTGATGTGTAAGCACAAACTATGGACCAGCGTGCTTTGGAAATTTTTCAGGATTTAACATGAAAAAATAATGACACTTCTTGTCTGCCTCACTTAGAAAGATGGTAAGCACTTTTTGTGAGCAGCTGAGATGCTCTCTCGCCAAAGCTCAGCATCTCAGAGGATCTGGCTTTTGGAAGGGGCTGGAGCAGCCCTCGTATCCATCCACCCTTACACTGGTCAGAAGTTGGTATGTAGAAATCTATGGCTGATCCTCAAAAGATATACATATAGCTTTGTAAATAGACGTATGAGTAGGCTAGACATATATCTATTACATGCTGCATAACAAAACTACCATGCACGTTGCATATTGCATGCCTTGATACATGGATCCAGAGTATATGAATATTATTTGGACTCCCCTGTATTGCCTGAGTGCTTCACTTTATTTTTGCAGAAACACAGTCATAATATTTCTCTTCTAATTAAATAGCTTTTTGCTAAATTTAAAAATAAGATTCTGGTTAGGACTGTGTGAGGAGCTGATTTTTAAGTACAACTATCTAAACAAAATTTGAAATAAAAAATGCAATTGAAACCAAAGCAGGTTTTTTTTTTTCTCCTTTATGTCAACCAAACCCAAAGCAGACAGTAAGTTTCACTCAACCTGAAATGTTCTGTTGATCTAAAAAGGAGAGCTAAATCCTCAGAACTGTCTCCACCTTATCTAGCACTCAGGGTTTAGAATAGCTATCAAGGCTGATCATAGCCAGGATCTTTTCCTATCTCTTTAGAGGGGTTTGATATTTTCTTTCAGGGACACCTTAGCCACCATAGGATGTCTGAGGATGATTTACTTCCTCTCTTGCTGACATGGTTATATTCTGTACAAACATTCCCTGAAGAACTGAACCTAGGTTAGCATTCAATCTCTTGCTGTTTGGCACAATTTCTGTTACGTTTTATTAAAATACTTACCCAGCAAGAGAGGAAAATTGCACCTCAGTATTTCTTGTTACGAGATAGTTAGATCTTTCCATCAGAAAGGATGGCAGTGGCTCAGGGGCCACTTGAACCAAGTGGTCACTTGAACCAAGGACACTAGAGAGAGAGATGGCAAGTGGGACACTAGTATCTCTAGTCTGATGATTAGGAGCTGTACTTAGACATGGAAAATATGAATTTCCATCAAAGTTAATACTAAGTGGAACAATAAAAAGTTTGAAAGAGCCTGACCTCAAACTACCTCATAGTCTGCTGGTTAGAATAGCCTCCCAGTTAATGAATTAAATTCCTTCAAGTAAAGTTGGGAGTTGAACCTGGTCTTCTACATCTTAGGAGGAAACTACCTGGTAGAAAATTGATTGCTACCGTCACTCACATTTCCTCTAGAGCGCTGGCTAGGATATGGTACAGTCTAATTTTGCATCATGCATGTATAATTTAATGAATTTCCATCAGAGAATGGTTTCACTGTGTAGAGTGTCTGAAATTCTAGTACAAATTCTACATTTAATTTTATGCAGTTTTTTGAGGGTATCTGGCAACTGAGATTCATTACTGCTGTGGGTAATTTTGTTTTATAGATTATAAAAGGTGTGCAAGGTTGCTAACGAGATTAGCAATGAGCCCTTTGTGTACACAGTCCTAGGATGTTTGCTATGTAAGTATCATTTTTCCCACTCATTTTCTTATTTGTTGAATGGTCTAGTGATTTACTTCATGCTTGTACCTTGTTATCAGGAGTGCATACAGAAATGTGGTATTACAGAGTGCATCAACACGCAGCTCTGGCATTGCTGTAAGGGCTGGCCGGTTCCTCATGGAAATACATAGAAGCACAGATACCTCTGGTAGGCCCCACTGTAATTTCCTAAAAGTCACTTGTGGCACCATAGTCCATAATTATGCACTGGATGACCTCTTACTGTTCAAAATTTTAAGAAGGAGTCTGGTTGGTGAAAGAAAAATGCATGAGGACTTCATCAACACATTTATTTCAGACCTTTCAGAAGAGGGCTTTGTTGTTAATCCATTGAAGAAGCAGAATGTCTTGGTCTCAGGTCTGCCAATGAAATTTTCATAGATACCCTTGTCACTTTATTAATCTTTGGGACCAGTTTTCATTCCCAGATCGTCTCCTGAGAATTTCTCTAAAGTTAATACCACTTCATGGTGATGGAAGTAAACTGAACATAAAGATGTGACAAAGCTAAAGGCTTCAAGTAACAGGCTGTGGAAGGAACCAGTCTATTCTTGTTTATGAATAGCATGTTAAATGTGTTAATTAAACAGCATTGCCACTGATAAACGCAACTTCTTCAAGTGAGCTGTTTTCTCCAGTTGTTTGAATATCAGTAAGACGGTTCCACTTCCAACAGTGATTTGAAAAACTGCACTGGTTATTATTGACCAATAAAATATACAAAATCAGTGAATTTAATTTATTTAAATTTCTTCAAAGATGGTTTCCTTTCACCACCTCCTCCTGACAAATACTGCAAGCTTGGAGTTTGGGGGAGTTGCGTATGTCACTTCTTCCTGCATCAAGACTTCAATTCATACTAATCAAGAATAAGAAAGGACGAGTAGGATATGAGTCAGTGTTAGCTGATTTGATTTCCAAGTGGAGGTGGGATTCATTTTGGTGGCTGTGAGAAAATGCTTTGAAGAATATGGCAATATTTCAGTGCTGAGAAGAAATTACATAATTTCTTTCTCTTCTTCTTTTCTTTTCTTAACTATTTTCGGTCTGTTGGCCTCTTGCCTTCCAGGTCTTGCAGATGGTTTTGAATATATCAGGAGCACTGAACCAGAGACTAACTAGGGATCTCATTACTTTGCCAGGATCTCCTTTTCATGACTAAGGGCAGGAATCCTTTTCTGAATGCCGTTTTTTAATAAATTTTTTGAGGTGCCTAAATTCCTGTTTGTTTGTTAGTGTTCTCTTTCAAATCTCAGCTTTCTAAAACATCCCAGCACTCTCTCATTTTCTGCACTTTCACCTATTTAGTTTGTGTTTTTCCCTCATCTGTATCCCTTTACACCTCTGGGTTCACGTCTCAGGGCTTCCAGAAAGATTTCTGGGTGTTCCAATACTTTTTTTTCCCTTTTCTTTCAAGAGGATTAGTCAAAGATCTGCCTCCATATCCACAGAACAGAAGCATCTGTCTCATCCTATTTCCATCTTTAAAATACAAAAGGATCAAAAGTTGCTATGATTTGCAAATCCAGGTGTTCTGATTTGCCTGCCAAAAATACACTCAAAAGAGATGACGTGGGGAAGGGAGGGTCTAAATGATAAGCAATGTTAGCAGCTCGTGTGCACTGTGTTCCCTTAAAGTTGTATCTAGGCTGACTTTCCCTCTACTTTGTTAAAAATAGAGAAAACATTATAGGAACAAGTAGAGCTGTGTTCTGAGTGTTTACCAGCTGCCTCTGTGCTCCCTCACCCTGTTCCTCCACCAAGCTGATAGAGTGGCTGGTTTCCACTAGAGATAAGACAGGCTCAGGTCTTCATGTTTACTCATATCCAGTTTCTTCTTGGAATGGAAACATTTTCCTGAGAAGGATGAAGGGTAGCAGGAATCGCTCTCTCTTCTCTCCAAATAGGCAGGGCAGCACAGGGGCTATATATGTTCATCCCTCAATAACACTGCATTTCTAGCATGATTCTGTGATTGCTTCTACTCCATCTTTTGGCACAGAGGATGTGTTTTCCTCACCACCCTCACACTAGCTTAGAGAGAACAAGGTCATAGTTCCTGTTTACTGTAAGGGAATTTGCCTTTGCTTTAACATCTGAGAGAGTCTTGGAGATTCTCGGTTGCCTTGAAGAAGGACACTCTCCCACTCGAAGGATTGACAACTATTTTAAGCGTTTCTCCTGCATGTAGTGAAATAGGCTGCGTTTTCCTCACAGAAAACAACTGCAGTGCTATTATGTGAATATTTTCCTCCCTCTCCTGTAAGTGCCCGGATACAAAAAGGAGACGTGGTCTTTCCCTGTTAGAAATGAAGTTTTGCCGGGGAAAGGCCAATCTTCCCACGGGACCTGGTAGCGCAAGCTGTAGCGGGAGCTGAAGGGGAGCGGCCGCGGGCTGTTTCAGGACCATGGAGAAGGCCGCCGAGGGGGCCCGGCGCCGCGCCCCGGGGAGCTGCCGGGATGCCGGCAGGGGCGGCGGCGCGGCTCCGGAGCTGCTGCTCGCAGCACACGCTTCGTAGCAGTTACTCGCCGTTACGGCTTTTAGCGTTTTGTTTTGGTGGTTTTGGTTGGGTTTTTTTTGTTTGTTTTGTTTTGTTTTCCCCTAATTCAGAGCCTTGCAAACGGAAGTAAAGCATTTGATGAAACCCAGAATCTAAAAATGCACGTGACTCTATGCACGGGAAGCTTCCTCGTAAGATGCAGCAGCACGGCCCATTATGTGTTGAACCTCTTAGCATCAACGCTGAGGATTTGCCACGGCAAAACTCATTAGTGTTCACAGGAAGGCAAGACCCACTGGCATTCTGTAGTTAAGATTTATGCAATCCACAGGAAACTGTGATTTATAAACAGAATTATACTAAGCGGTCTGCCTCTGTGTCTTGAAACTAGTTATAAAATGGCATGTCCTTTTCTCTTGCAGACTTTCTACTAAGGAGAGAATTCTGATTTGCCAAGAAAGTGCCTTGAAATCTTCCAAGACAGAGAAGACATCTTTTACCTTTTTGATTTACGTTTTGTTACTAGATGCATTTTATTTTCCTATATTTGTCAGACATTCCATATTTGTGTGAAACATTATTTTATTTTAATTTGTAAATTTGTTTCCTATAGTTCAGACCAGCCAATTATTTAAGTGCATTGTATATAAAGAATACTAATGATATACTGATTAAATGTTATAACCATATGCAGGGAGTTGGTAAAATTTTGCTGTTTCTCTTGTTCCATTGTACTTACATCATTCTGCTCAGGCTCTTACTTCCATTATTTGCACTAACTTGAAATGCAGAAGTCTATGTAACTGAAATCTGAATAAGCTGTAAGTGGAGAAGTTTTACTTGCCATGGAAGATATTTTATATTATGAAGCTTTGTTAATATATACATATATATTATTGCGCATCAGAAAAAAAATTGCTCAGAAATGCACCTTGCTTTCAGGAACATTTGTATGACTATTCTGGATTTTCATCAGTTACATTTGTACTGGCACTTATGGAAAGAGTTGCAAATAATGTAAATATAAAGACTGGAAAACTGCAATGCAGTTTTGGTGGAATAAAGAACATAAAAATAAACTATTTTCCAGGAAGGGTTATTTAAATTTATTAAGAGTTTACTTATTTAACATATAAATTTAATTTATCTGGTGATCTTGAAATAATTTCCCACTGAGAACTTCAAACTTGTGGGTTTAGTTTTTTACAGCATTTCATTTTCAAGTGGCAAATTTTATTCAGACATTTATTCTTCAGCTGAATGAGATGCAAACAAAAATGCATTATGCACCCACTATGAACAACAGAAACCTTCTGTGAGGATGAAGAGAGGGTAATAAAATAGCCCAGAAGAAGAGAAAATACTTTAAAGTATAATATCATAAAACCAAGGGGTATAATGAATGAATTTGGCTGGTGGCACATCAAGCTTAACTTTGGGAAGAATCCAAAGCACAATTGCTGCATCTTTCTTATTTAAAATCAAATTGTGATGATAACATTTGCTACCCATTTGTCTCGGCTCTTTTACTGCAAGCTTATATGATTGCTTTACAAAGAACCTAGTATGAAGTGAGGTTTTTATGGTCAGGCCCAGAGTAATTGACAGCACACATTGATTACTGTGCCCAAATCACAATTCTTGTGGTTAACTGACCATTCAAACTAATCTCCACAGATTAGATGTTGTCTCTATCCTTTCCCTCAGTGTGGGCTTCGTGAGCCCCTTAACTTCTGTGCAAGCACTTTTCCCTCTACAGAATAGCAGGGAAGCTCTGACCTGGGATTCCTTGTCAAATAGCAGGCCAACTGTATGAGATTCAACAAGGCCAAGTGCCGGGTTCTGCACTTGGGCCACAACAACCCCATGCAGCGCTACAGGCTTGGGGAAGAGTGGCTGGAAAGCTGCCCGGCAGAAAAGGACCTGGGGGTGCTGGTTGACAGCCGGCTGAACATGAGCCGGCAGTGTGCCCAGGCGGCCAAGAAGGCCAATGGCATCCTGGCCTGTATCAGAAATAGTGTGGCCAGCAGGAGTAGGGAAGTGATCGTGCCCCTG